AATCAATGATAATTTTTCTAAGTTGTGTCTTTGTACAAAATATCCATGCTACAATTTATTTTTAGTCTTTTTTCTCATTACCCCCCTGTGGAACCCACATACACACTGCCCCGTTTGTCAGATATGTAGATTGATGGACCTTATTTTACCATGTTGACCTGTGATATATTGATCTATGGTTTGAATTCTGAGTTGTCCTTCTCCTTGACTAGTTGCACTACCAAGGCTAAAAGTTCAGTTTACTATTCACTTAGTCATAGTGATGGGGATAACAATTGCATTGATGCCTTTCCCAAGGGCATTAATACAAAGTGAATGTAACAGACTTGACTGCAATTTGAACTTGGCCTACTCATTTTAATGAACATTCATTTTTTTCTTCAGTTCAAGTTTAAAAACCACCAAAGAAACAATATGCATACTTGTAGACACAACCTTCTTAACCAACAAAACTCTGACATTGGCTTCTGAAAGCTAAAATTCACAGAAAACCTTGGACAATTTATGTTCTATTTCTATCTGAAGACTAAAAAAAAGACTTAAAGCAAAGAAAAATAATTAAATAAAAATCGTAAACAAGTTTTGTTGGACTTTGAAAACATGCATGAATATGAAAATGCTACCCAAACACACACACACACACACACACACACACAAAATGTGTGTATGTAAATGTGTGTAAAAGAAAGAATATGTTTAACCCCAAAACAGTTGACCAGAGTATTTCTGGAAGCTATTTTTTACCCAAAATTGTCTTTATAGTTACATTGGTTTATATTAAAGGATAAAGCAGCAGCAACAACAACATTATTATTATTATTGTTGTTGTTGTTATTATTATTATTGATGATGATGATGATTTCTTTCCCCCCCACCCCTGTTCACAGATTCTGAAATCCATTTAATCATGAAATCATTTTGATTTTATGTTATAAATTAGCATCTTTTAAGAAAAACATATGAATATCAAAATATTTTTGTCTCCTCATGATTGAATTCACGGAACTCCAAATATATATATATATATATATATATATATATATATATATATATAAAAAAAATATGTTGTAGGGGTTCCAACGAGAGAAAAGTATGTATATTAAAAAAGAAGAGGGGGTGCATAAAACGTTTTTTTGGTTGTAATGTGGATTTATTGAGAAAAAAATATTATACTTTGTTTTACATAATTTCACGACCGTGTTTCTGGTCTGGTCTCGCAACCGTCTTCAGGTGAAAGTGGAGATTTTTACATATTATTAAAAATAATTAATTTTTCTTCATGTTCAATGTGGAATATTCTCGATATGAGACATTCTGTTTGTGTGTTTGGCAATCCGAATTTTCTTTTCTAGAATTGTCAATGAAGAGTTCTGCGTGAGGGGTCATAAAACAATTAAGGTTTGTCCAGCGAGTAGTTATCGGCATTTAATCTTTTAATGTTTTAGTGACCTCTATGTGCTCTTTTTGGATCTGTTTCTATTTTGGCGTGTTCCTGTCAGCATGCGTGTATATATGCGTCTTGTATATTTCCTTACTACGAGAATTAAAAAACTTATTTGTACTTATACACGCATACACACACATACGTACATACACACTATCCCACCACAAGTAGTCAGTACACACACACATATACACACATATTTCCCAAGCTACATGGAACCAGTACACACGCACACACACACACACACGTTTCTTAAGTTGTCAACATCCGCATATACATACATAAATGTATGTATGTATGTATGTATGTGTACATACATATATATATATCTCCTCGTGTCTCCCGTATATGAGTGCGCGTCCATGTATGTGAGCGATTTGATCATTGTATTTGGTCACCCTGTGTGCATGTTGTGTGTTTTTGTGTGTGGGGTTACGATCTATTTAGTTCGGGTTTGAATTTGTCTATAAAGTTTTTTCCTGTATTTGTAGATACGAGTAATTGTCTGTTTGATATATCGGCATGATATTAAACTTACCCTGGTTACATTTGAAAATGTGTTGTGATACAAAAAGTTTTCTGTTGTCTGTCAATTTTATATTGCTTTTGTGTCGGGAGACCCTGTTGTTCAGTTGTTGGCTGATGCCTATATATGACTTCTTACATTTTGTGCATTTAAGTGCATAAACTACATTTTTGTTGCAGTTTAAGTTTTTGTTTATTGTGAATGTTTTTTTTTGGTTTTCAAAAGTGTAGGAGTTTCCTTCTATAATGATGTCACAAACTCCACATCTTTTTTTTGTTGCATTTGTGACTCCTGTATTTTGTGTTGACTAAATTTAGATGAGGTTAATATGTGTTTTAGGTTTCTAGATTGGCGTTTGCTCTTAATTATTTTGGTTGTTTTTAGTATATTATTCAGTTTATTATTCTTGCTAAGTAAATCTAGATTTTTGTGATTTCTGGGAATATTTCTGGGTTGTTTTTGTTGTACGTTGAGACATATGCTAGAGTTTGTTAACGTTACGCTTTCTTTTATTTCTAAGTTGGTCTAGAGGAATTTCTTTCGCGAGTTCAATACCTTTGTTTATTAGTGTTGTGGGGTAGCCTCGTTTCTTGAGAGTTTTATGTAGTTCTTCTAAGCGGATTTTTCGGAGATGTTTATCAGTCACTATTGTACAAATTCGTGCTAGGGAATAGGGGATGGATTTTAGGCAGCTTTTTGGGTGATGGCTCTTGAAATGAACGTATTGTTGGGTGTCTGTGGGTTTGTGGTAGATATCTGTGATTATGTGGTTGTTTTTATTTCTAATGAGTATATCTAAAAATGGTAATTGCTTAAAATTATATTCTTATGTGAATTTGATTTTTGGGTGTAAGTTTTGAAGTAGTGTATGGAATTGGTTAATATCACCCCATGATGATTTCCAAAAGATGAAGCAATCATCTAGATATCTTTTCCAAGATTTAGTGAATTGGGTCTTTATATTATATAAACCCAAAAAAAACATTCACAATAAACAAAAACTTAAACTGCAACTCCAAAAATGTAGTTTATGCACTTAAATGCACAAAATGTAAGAAGTCATATATAGGCATCAGCCAACAACTGAACAACAGGGTCTCCCTACACAAAAGCAATATAAAATTGACAGACAACAGAAAACTTTTTGTATCACAACACATTTTCAAATGTAACCAGGGTAAGTTTAATATCATGCCGATATGTCAAACAGACAATTACTCGTATCTACAAATACAGGAAAAAACTTTATAGACAAATTCAAACCTGAACTGAATAGATCGTAACCCCCCACAAAAAAAAAATAAAATAAACATGCACACAGGGTGACCAAATACAATGATCGCTCACATACATGGACGCACACTCATATACGGGAGACACGAGGGGATATATATATGTGTATGTACACATACATACATTTATGTATGTATATGCGGATGTTGACAACTTAAAAGTACGTGTGTGTGTGTCTCTGTGTGTGTATGTGTGTGTGTGTGTGTGTGTGTGTGTGTGTGTGTGTGTGTACTGGTTCCATGTAGCTTGGGAAATATGTGTGTATATGTGTGTGTGTACTGACTACTTGTGGTGGGATAGTGTGTATGCACGTGTGTGTGTGTATGCGTGTATAAGTACAAATAAGTTTACTTAATTCCTCGTAGTAAGGAAATATACGCACGCATATATACACGCATGCTGACAGGAACACGCCAAAATAGAAACAGATCCAAGAGCACATAGAGGTCACTAAAACATTAAAAGATTAAATGCCGATAACTACTCGCTGGACAAACCTTAATTGTTTTATGACCCCTCACGCAGAACTCTTCATTGACAATTCTAGAAAGAAAATTGGATTGCCAACACAAAACAGAATGTCTCATATCGAGAATATTCCACATTGAACATGAAGAAAAAATTAATTATTTTTAATAATATGTAAAAATCTCCACTTTCACCTGAAGACGGTTTACAGACCAGACCAGAAACACGGTCGTGAAATTATGTAAAACAAAGTATAATATTTTTTCTCAATAAATCCACATTACAACCAAAAACGTTTGCGGCACCCCTCTTGTTTTTAATATATATATATATATATATATATAGTTTTAAGGCATGCTACATTTATGGGATAAAGTGCTCAATATCAGAGATAGAGCATATATAAATATAAAAGTGAACATTGAAGAGTCAACACTCAGAGGCGATACAGTGTTTCATGCTAAATGCAATCATCAGGCATGTTGCCATGGAGCAGTCTGTTGCCTTTGAGTGTTGATTTTAATGTTCACTTTTTTTATATATATATATATATATATATATATATATTTGCAAGTCACTAATTTTTTTTTTAATTATTTTTACTTCCCATGTAATTTTGTTTTCATATTATAAATCAAAAAAGGAAGTCTGAACTAAGGGTTTCAAATGGAAAAAGGCCATTAGTTTGGCATATATTCACTAAGTTAAACTTTCTGTTGAAAGTTTCAGAATGCAAAATCCAAAAACAAAACACAAGTTTTATCAACAAATTGATTTATCTACATATACTCCTTCAGTTTTTAAACAGTTTGAATAAAGGATAGTAATAAAACGAACGGTACAGTAAAAGTTGAATTGAAAAAGTTCTTTCCTGCTGTTATCAGCTATGATTTAAAGTGATTTCCTTTGATGTCAGGTTTTTCATTGCCATTGCATCAAGGGCAGTGCCAAGGCTCAGGCAAAATAGAATGTTAGTGGCATGGTCTGGTTACAGTCTGTTTATTCTGTCTATGCCATTAAGCATCTTTATAAGATCAGCTTCCATAACGATGATTCTGTGTTATTTAATTTCTTTTTGAAGCTTTTCATTGGCTGAAAAACAATTTGTTTTTAAAATCTTCAGCCAATTCTGAATATCATTTTTTGAGGTAGAAATGATTTCTTTGATGGTTTTAATTTCCAGCATTATTTAAGCTGTCAAAATAAAATCTTCTGTTAAGATTTGTATATTTTTTTTTTTAATCAGAGCTCTGACAGCATTTAGAAAATATGCTTTCAGAACATATCTATTGTGGGAGATATTATTGTCCTTTAAGATTGAAATATTATTGGAATCATGAATGAAATAAATGAAAATATTTACAAAATGGTAAGAATTTATTTATTTTTTTTTTTTCCAGTTTTCTAAGCAGACAGTGTTGGACAGCTACATTTCATTTGTAGAAAATTACGAAAAGTCTGGAAGTGTTATTGAAAATGACTTATTGACTAAATCATCAGTATCAAAATTTATTGAGGTAAGTTTCAGTTTTTTGATAATTTGGTGGGTATTTTTTAAGGATGTATTGTTTATCTATTTCATTAAAAGAGATATTTGTTTTTAATTTCACAGATATTAAAGATTCCTTATTTGTAACTTTGAACAAGATTTCAACTTTTCTTTATCGATATAATTTTTATCATAATTTTTTAATCTTACAATTCTGTTCCACAAGGTATCCTTTTCTCAACCTTACATTTTAAAACCTCCCATCTGATACTCTAACCACTAAGCTGGAACAATATCTAATAATAATAGTGACCCTGAAATTGTGAAAGAGAGTGAATTTGTCAAGAAAGACATTAGAAAAAACAAAAGAAAAAAAACAACTGTTCTTTTTGGTTTGTAAATCATTTGATTTTAATCAGATTAGAAATCTAACAATGTGTAAGGATTTGGGGATCAGGAAGTTTTTTAATTACCTATTGCTGACTTTACTTACCTGCTGGCATTAGATTTTTATGCTTTTTTAAATTTAGGTGACTTAGTTCATTCAAGAAACGATATGCTAAAAGCAAACACCTTGCTCAGGAAATGGTAATGATATATCCTCTCTAAAACTAAAATCATGGAGCAAAAGGAAAGAAAAGTAATAATAATGTTTGTGAAATAAACTGAGTATTTGCCTACCATTTTTTTTTCTTTAATGTCTCTGAGAAATACGTTTTGATCTACAGGTTGGCAAATGGTGGATTTTGGTATAAGTAGATAAATAGTGAAAAAATGGTGGATTTTGGTATAAATCGTGAAAAAAATCTTACCTATTTATAATTAATGAGTGCAAATAGACCTTAAGTCTTTTGTAACTAAACTGTATTATACTCTTTTTTTGAAATCTGCACAATTAAATGAACACCACTTCTAGGAAATTTGGTTCAATTTGTTTTGCCAGACAATTTTTGCATGTTTATAGATCTACTGAATATTGCTGCCATATATGTTATGCTGAGGCTTCTATATATCTTGAGGTCCTCAACAAAACCTAAAGGAAGGTCTGTAATGTTATCATTCCTGACCTGGCATCTTGACTTCATTCACTTTCCCACTTCTGAGATGTAATTTCCACCTGTCTTTTCTAAAAAAAATATTTTCATGGTACTTATTCTAATGTGCTTTCATTCCTGGTGTCTTGAATTTATGTATACTACTTGATTGGCAACTGAGTCTTACTGTTGAAATAGGTTAGACGTAACCATAATTTCTATCCTAATAGATTCTTCTCTCATATTCCTTGTCTGTTGAACTCTCTTCCAGTTTCTTGCTATGATTTTCAAACATTTAAATGCAATGTCAATCACCATATTCTGTCTTCTTGATTCCTGTTCATTTATTGTTCTTTCTCCTCACTAAAGTCTTTTCATTCTCTTTCACTCTCATTAAGCTCTTGCATCTTAGTGGCATCATTGCCTTACTTGGGGTAAAACAGTTAGGAAAAAGAAAAAGACAAAAAAAAAGCATCAGAATTCAAAAGACGATAAATTGGGGAAAATATGAAACTTTTACAAAGATGTATATTGCAGACATTTTTCTTTCCATTTTGTATCAATAATGATTCATATCCCATTTTGGGCTGAGAGAGAGAGAGAGAGAGAGAGAGAGAGAGAGAGAGAGAGAGACCAAATACAAAACAAGTGCATCTTATTTTTCACTTTGATTGAAATTTGATGCTTTACTTATAAAAATCAAAAATGAAAGTAAATGAAGCCAAAACAGGATTAATAAGATTACAGATTCATCTTTGGATTTTATCAAGAATCTCTAAATACATAGCAGAAGCACCAGATCAGATGTGGCAGCAAAATTCAATGCATGGACGAATGGTAGACTTATAAATATATAAGATAGATTCTGGCTTAAAAAATTGTCTAGCTCAACAAAGTGAACTAACTTTTCTAGCAGCAGCAGACCTTGCAGTTTTTTCAAAAGTGGAACAATTCAATCAACTGCTAGGAAAGTTTGTTCACTGTGCTATTTTAGACACTTTCATGACTCATAATATCAAATAAACTTTTTTTTTAATGTCTGAATAAATAAGGTTATGTAAGAGTTACAAAGGACAAGACATTGTGGAGAGCCATGGTCATCAACATACTGAATAGGTACCGTACATAGAAGAAGAATAGATTACATAGAGACTTAATTTTTGAAACCTGATCCATATAGAGAAGTACCAGCTGACCTTATAAAATACTTGGATAATGACATGACAAATCCTGGGTTCAGGTAACAAACAACAGTGTTGTATTTTTAGCGCTGATTACATTTGAATCTAGTAGTTGTAGGCATAATTTAAACTTTACTTATTACTACTCTCTGTCTTTATCACAACTCTGTCAATTCCCTGCTTAGTTTTCCTCATTCTCTCTTCTAACAAAATAACAAGAATGCAATTACACCATCATAGGGTGACTACAGTTGAGATTGTAATTATTGGGAACTCCGTGATCTTGTCCATGGCTGCATAATATGTACCATACCAGAGCTACATATTGTTTGAACATTGTTCTTCTCCTAGACTGGTTGCCAACCACAGATACAGAGCCCTATCTCCCTTGCTATTTAACCCATAGCTGGAGAGAGATGGATTCATACCTTTCTCAAGGGTATTTATACAAAAGTGAATATAATGAACTCAACTGGAATTTGAACTCTGCTTACCAATTTCTCATTCTAACCCTTAACCATAACACCACCTTTGCATCTAAACCAAATATTCTAAATATTTTCTGTAAAATTAGATGAAAAACCACAACAGTTTCCTGTATCTATTGAATTTTAAATTGAATCACTAAATCTTAAAGCATTAACACTAATTGCATTATGAAGTTTGGTGTTCTTTAAAAGTATGTCATCATCCATACTCGATTGTGTTTTTGTGTATGTTTGCTAAACTGTTTTGTAAAATTTTCCATATCAAAAGCGTATCAAGATTGGCTGAATTCAGTTTTAGTTTTTACATTTCGTATACAAACATGTCTAAGTGAGGGCCTGGACAGGATCAAAGGCAATGATTAAGTTTATTTTGATGATATGCATATCTGCTTTGTTGCAAATATGTTGTCAGATATTCCAAACAAACTTCTAAACAATCTTTTATTTAAAATTGTGCAGCTTTTGTTTGCAATAATATTTGTGGCTTTTTGTTGGTATTTTATTTGGAGGGGGGAATCATTTCATGTTTGTTAAATAGCACATATGTAAAGTAGTATATATATATATATATATATATATATGATCAGACATAGTAGACATTCATTGTCCATTATATTTAACATATTATATGTTTAAATAATGATCTGCTGCCCCAATACATATATATATATATATATATATATATATATATATATGATTTTTTTTTTTTTTTGTTTCTAATTATTTCTGATATTTTTATTCTATAAAGTCAAGTAAAAATCCATTTTTCTTATATTGATGCACCATACAGATTTGCATATATTGGTTTAGATTATTATGTAATGAAAAGCACACCTGGGATGTGCTTTGTGCATATGAGATATTTTCAGATTATTCATTGATTCTAATAGCTGGAAACTGATTTTTAGAATCTGATTTTCAAACAAAGCTGGCTCTTTCAACTGAATAAAGTGTGGGTACATTAAAGGCACTGGAACAATAAATTCATGTTTAGAATGATATCAGAAAGAGCAATACAAATGCAAAAGGATGTGAACCTTTGTTTTATAGATTATGAAAAAGCAGTTGATAAAGTACATCACTAAGAATTGCTAGGTAACCTTATGAAGGATATTAGAATAATCCAGAACCCATACTAGCAGTAAATTGCCTGTGTACAGATAGAAAAGGAACAAATATGCGTCTTCTCACCAAACTTTTTCAATCTATACAGTGGGGCCATTCTGAGAGAATTAGAAGTCCTACCAGAATTCATTTATGATGGCCGCAATCTTAACAACATAGATATGCTAAACAGAGTTGATAGCAGACACAGAAAGGAAACTGCAAGAACTCCTACAGAAGGTAGTGAAGGAAAGCAAGAAGAAAGGACTAAACATCTTTTGCAAGAAGATTGAATACATGGTTGTTATCAAAAGTGACAGCCCGACATGAAAATATGAGATACCAAAATGAAACAAGTGCAACAATTTAGATATCTGGGAAGCATATTAACAGAGGATGGAAAATGTAACATAGAAATCTGAAGAGGCATTGGGATAGCAAAAGATGCCTTCCAAAACCTGAGCAAAGTATTAAGAAGCAGAAAAATTTCATTAGAAACAACAAAAATAGTATTGAACTGTTATGTAGTATCAGTCCTTCAATATGGCAGTGAATGCTGGACGATCTCTTCACAGATGAAGAAGTGACTTGAAACAACAGACGTGGTTCTACAGAAGGATTCTGAGAATATCATGGGCTGAACATATGAGAAATGATGAAGTTATAGAGAAAATGGAAATAAAAATATAAAATAGAAATAAATCAGGAAAATAGAGTTGAATTTTCTGGGGCGCATAATGAGTAAAGAGGGCTTAAAAAATGTGATCCTCACAGGACAGATTGGAGGGCAAGAGGGACAAAAAAGAGAAATGCACAACCTACCTGGTGAGCTTGAGTGACTGGATGATGGAGCAGGGTTTGAGAGAGAAGGCAAAAAAACAAAAGTTATTAAGAGCTACAAAGAACAGGAAATTGTGGAGAGCTATGCTTACCCAACATCCTGAAGGGACACAGCACATAGAAGAAGAATAAATTAAGTAGAGACTTAATTATATTACAATTAGATTATTTAACTTAAAATGTTTTTGAATTGTAAAATCTTTAAGTATTTTTTTTGATATAAAGAAATCAGTTACTCAACTAAGATTTGCTTTGTCTTAAAATGCAAAATGGCCGGATTATGCTCAATTACAAAAAATTCTTATTTTGTAAACAGGTGACAAATATTCATCTTTAATTATATGTAATGATTTCTGTGAGTTGATGTAAAAATATTCATAGCATTATTATTCAGTATTCAAAGTATTTTCTTTTGGTTTTCTATAATCATATGCAACTTTTCGGATAACCTGCATATTCCATCATAAAAAAAAAAACTGGTTTTGATTTGAATAACTTTTTAAAGAAATCATTGACCAGACAATGAGTGTTGCACAGAACATAATAAGGGATAGTCTGAAAGTGGCAGTCTTGGAGAATATACTGTATGTAGAACTTCTCATCCCATCTCCATAATCATTTGTTCTGTCACATTTGCAACATAAAACAAGAATTGTCAAGCTTCAAATTCTTTGGTTGTTTTTTTTTGTTTTTTTTTTTTTGCTTTATGAAACTTGTTTTATTCCAATGGTTCAATCAAACTAACCAATCGGGAATTAACAGTTTTTCCAAATTCCACTTTATAATAAATTCTTTTTCAATCTCACCAAAGAAAAAGTTTTCCCATTGAGATGTCCATAGCTGTTGTGAAACTAGCCAGGATTTTCTTCTTTTTAGATTTTTGTAATAAATTCATTGACTATCTTTTTATTGCATTGCATAAAAACTGACAAATGTTGACCAGTATTCCTTTCTGTTCATGCAAAACCCATTTTTCCATATTCTGAATATTTCTGAAGTGACTGCAACAAAGTTGGTTAAAAAAAATATTTACAAATGGAATTAACAGTGAATGAAGAAACAGAAATGTCCAACATTTATAAATAATCCACCCACAATGTCCACTGAGTGAAGAAACATAAAAGTGACACTGACAAGGTTGTTTTCCTTGGTATATTATATATTGAGAGTGGTTATTTTGAAGTGTTTTGTCACCAGTTGCTGCCAAGGGGTGCAGTTTTCATTTCTTCCATCAACAACATACAACCCCTGATCCCAGGAATGATGTTGAGGGAAGTCTGGGAATCCTTTACATTGGTAGCTGGAGGGGTGTGCTTCTTTTATACCATCAAGACCATGCTCACCACCAACAGCATCACTCACCCCTGGAGTTCTATGAAATGTGAAGTCTAGCAGAATTGCTTCCCTCCTTTGGAAAGGATCTATTGCTGATAGCTTTTGACATGTTTAACATTTAAGATCAAATATTTTTAATATGGTCTGGGACCCTATTGACCTCAATTCCTTGCAGGCTAATGATCTCAGTGACCCCTCTAATTTAAATTCTAATGTATATTAATTTTGAAGCTTTTTCACCCAGGTATTATCTCTATCATCTCCTCACTCCCTAATGCTAACAAATATACTTTTGTATCAATGTGTTTCACCTAAAACTTGTCTTTATGGTCTGCACCATCAAACTCTACTTTTGGTTTAGAACTCAACTTTCTTGCAGCAGTTTTGTTGATCTTCCTCATACACCCTTTTCATAGTTCCATTTCCTGAGGGGGTATATGCACCTTGAAATCAAATGTCCTGGGTAAGACGATAAACTACGTCCAACAGCAAGGCCTCTGATCAGGAGGTTTTGAGGAGCATGTAACTACCTCTTAAATGCTGGTGTTCCCAGGTCCTGGGATGGTAGCACTTGTCAGGTTCCCAGCTATAGGCAAATAGTTACCCTCCCCAAGGGGTCAAAACACTAAAGTATAAAAATAGGTTTTAATACCAGCAATACTTTTTTGGAAAAAATTATTACCAGCAATACATTTTTGAAAAAAAATGTAGTATCAGCTATACATTTTTTGAAAAAATATTACCAGCAGTAGATTTTTGAAGAAAAAAAGAAATATTACCAGTGATACATTTTTGGAAAAAAAATATTACCAGTAATAAAAGATTTTGTCAGCATTAAATAACTCATTGAGGTTGATATGCCATAAAACAAAACAAACGAAATGAAACCCACACATGCCAACATCATTACACTTTTATGTGGCTGGAATGAACAGCTGACTGGAATGTAAATTATTGCTGTAGTCAGAAAGAATAAAAACTGCTTGAATAGATGACAATAATAATTTGATGTAATAAAACTAAATACAAATTTAAAAGCAATTATGTTTTTTTCTTGTTTTAGCAATGTCAAAAAGACAGTGGCAGTAAACTATCAATGAAAGATTTGATTGTTCGGCCAATTCAGCGGATTCCAAGATATGAACTTCTGATTCAGGTGAGAAATTTACTTTTTCATAGATTTCACCTTTGTTTTCTTTTATTTTTTTCAGCTGGTTTTGTTTGTAGATGTCTATTTTGAGATGTTTTCATTTTCTGACAGTCATTTTAACTGCCATGTCTTGGTTATTTTTCTAGACAGGGTTTTTTTTTTTTTTTAACTTGATTCTTTTCTTGATTCATTATTTCCAAAACTTTTTGGGTTTTTTTACATAGACACTTATTGTTCTCTTTTGAAAAACTTGGTTTGAATTGATCTACATTGTCAAATTTTATTAGGCAAGTCAATTTTTCTTTTCACAACTTTTTTGGCGCTTAAAAAATTCATGAATTGTGTAGGTTACAGCTTATATTTTCTATCCTTATTAAAAAATTTTGATAATAATGTTTGGAGAATTTCAGGTTATTTTAATTTCAAATAAACTGAGTGCAGTATCAGTTTTTATTAAAATTAAAAAGATAGGTGACAAATATATACAGACAAACTTTTCATCTACAGACTCCCAATCAACAGATTTCAGATGCAACGGACAAAATCTGCAGACAAAATAAAAAAAAAATCTGCAAGAAAAAAAACTTCCAAATCATCAGCAATCTATTTCAAAATTCATGGACTTAGTGCAACGAGCCATATTAATTCTCAAAGTGACCGCTTGGCGGCAGTGGCAGGTATTTCAGTTGTAAACAAAGTCGGGTACACAGTATACATTAGCGCATCCGTGAAAAAGTAGCTGTGAAAAATCCATTATTTTTGTTATTTTGCTTACTATATCTATATTAAGTATATATTTATTTATGCCATATATACATGTTTATAGTATTTACATTATGATCATAATTAGTGGTAGTTACTATAGCCGTTTTATAACTCAAAAATAATCCCTTCCCATCTACGGACAGTCAGCTTTAAGGGGCTACCCCAACGCCCCTATTAGTCCATTGATAAGAGGTTTGTCTGTATTTGATTAATGAGATAACATATCTGAATATTTTACAATTTTTATTATTTTGCATGTTAATATTGGCTCCTTGACATTCTGTAACTTTCATCAGCCTTTTAACAATTGATTTTGTTGATTTTTCTACTATTTTCACTTTAACATTATAGCAATTTTTATTGCATCTCAAAGATATTTTTTGATTGAATATTGTTTTCTATTCTCATATAAAATATATTATTTCTGACTGAATTACTTCAAACTTTTTTTCTAGTTTTAAATGCTGATGCCCTTGTAACTCATACACACACAGACAATTGTGTACAAAGGATCAGATTTATAATCTACTAGCTTAAAAGCTTCCCTACTGGGTGGCAATTAAGTTAGCGCCTGCAGAGGGCTCTCGATTGGGCCTTTGACTTGTTCAGGAGATTGAGAGTCCCTAAGTTTTTGCATATTTTCAGCATTGAAAGTCTCTAGGCTGCTGTTTGATCTAGGTTTTCATTTGCATGGGACTTTCTTTTCCTCGCTGCAGCCTTGGCTCCTTTGATTGCAATCTAGTTCTCTGTTGGCAAAAATTTCTTTTTACGAGGCATACTGAAGCCGTATGCAATAGGCAACAATAAACTACAGAAGAACTCAAAATTGATCGCTGCATTTAAGTAGTGTTTTTATTTAGTTTTTTTTTTTTTTTTTTTTTTTTTTTTTTTTTTTTTTTTGATCAGGCAAAAATCATTACATATTGACTGGAGAGTATTTATTCTAGTCTTGACAGAATTCTCTTATTGAAAAAAAAAAAAAAAATGTTTAAATTCCCTGCGAGTCTGCAAAGAAGCATTGTGCAGTTCTTTGCTAAAATAGAAAGTTCTTTGAGAATAAAAAAAAGAAAAAAGAAAATGGAAGCTGAGTTTTATTTTTACTTAAGAACCAGAACAAATCATGTACACAAATATGTTACTTCAAATCTTGTTATAGTGGATAATCATATTTTTCCAATAAAGAAAATGTGCTCTCTAACAGGGGTTGAAATTGCGACCACCTTTGTAGGAGAAACCACTGTTTGGTGTAGTGTGCCTTACTGCACATCTGTAGAGAGTTTCACAGTTCAACAAGGTTGTATTTTCTGTTTTAAGGAAAGCACATTTCCTCGTTTAGATTGTTTTTTTCAAAAACCCATTTCTGATCAGTTCATATCTGAAAAATAAAACAATTTCTCAAGAATTAATAGATTTTCTTTTCTTCATTAATATTTCTCAAATATGCAGGCCTTAGATATAACACACACCATTTAAAGCAAAAATAAAAATGGGGCTTCTATTTCAAATATGAGTATCCACTATAATAATGTTTGAAGTAATAAAAAAAAGTCAGATTCAAAATAAATCCATTAATCAATAATGTCTATCCATCCAGTTATTAAAAGGAGTATAATAAAATAAAAACAAGTCACTATAAAACAGCCACCCCATTTTGTAGATTGTACCAAGAAGAAAAATTAGTTACATTCCCCAACCAACAAAACCTACTAAATAAAAGATGGGGGAATATAACCGCATACTTGCATAGGAAACAATAACATCTTGAATATATGGCATCTGATTAGGCAAATATTTTTTTTATAAATGGGAGTTTACAAATTTTATATACCCCCCCCCCCATGTATAAAAATCCTATGAATTGGATAGTAAGCAATATCATCTGTTCCCCCCCTATCTGGAGAGTTGTTTTTGGATGAAACTATAGTAAATGTACAAATATTATTTTACTTTTTATTTGTGAGATTATATATGAGTGTGTCTGATGAAATAGTTTTATTAACAGGAGATATTACTTGAAGTTAATAAGCATACATGATTTGCATTATCATAACAACGGCATATCTCATTAAAAATAAATTGAATTGTTGATAAATTTTATTTTATTTCTTCTGTGTTACATTTCTTTGGATATTTTCTCTTTTAATAAAATCCTAAATTACACATGCTAAAAATATAATCAATACATAATAATTACTTAAATGTTGCCATCATATTTCGATAAATTGAGTAACCATGTATGTCAATATATGACTTATTATTGGATAATATTGAACAGTCATGGAAGAATAACAATACATTTTATTCATTTTGATGGTACCTATGATGTCTAGGGGGTGAGGACACCTGTAAAAGAATTATCATGACATCAGTATATATTTAGTCATCTGAAATGCTCAGCATTATTTGGCCAAATGTTATATTTAATGAAATAAATCTGAAAGAAATCTTGTTTCACAAATACTTTCTGAATAATGATAATAACAGAGGAAGTAAGGATTTAGATGAGGTAATAACAGAGGAAGTAAGGATTTAGATGAGGTAAGATATTCTGGCACCACTAAAAGTATATAGTAAATATATATATATATATATATATATATATATATATATATATATATATATATATATATAAATGTTTATTTTTATGTGTTAAATGTTTCTCACAAAAGAACAAATAGATATATATTTTATATATATATATATATACATACATACACTGACATGGTATACAGTAACAATGGTTGAAAGATACACCTGTATGCACAGGTAAGTATGTGATTGTGAGTCAGAAGAGGAAATTAGTTATTCATCTTAACCATTCCACTTTTAGTGATTCACTATTGCCTGCCATGTGTCTCCTATCTACACCATCCCCAATTTTCTGTAATGGTACATTTGGGGGTCACGACCCCTTATCTCCACACACACATGTACACATATTTCTTTGTAGTGTTGTTCCTCATTATTGAGTTGATGTGTGGGTTTGTTTCTCACTTTCAATCTACTTACTCATATATACATTAGGGGGTGCTGAAAACTTGTCTATCAAAACAACTTTAAAAAATCTGACCAAATTTTTTTTTTCTTTTCTTGACCTTGTGTGTGTGTATACACACACACACACACACACACAGAGTTAAATTTTGCTATATTTATAGGGGAAGAGTGCTCAATATCAGAGATAGACCATTTATAGATATAGACAGTATGGGATGCGCTCTCTCTCTCTCTCTCTCTCTCTCTCACACACACACTCACACACACACACACACACACACACACATATATATATAATCTATTTGGCCCGCAATCTCTCATGTAAGGTTTTGTTGAAAACAACTGACAAAGTGCAATTGTTGAGTTTTTTTTATATAATTTCTCATGTGTTTGTATAATTTTTTCTTTTCAGGACATAAATTATGTAGAAATTTTGCAAAATAAAATATGGGGATTTGGTGTTAAAGCCCACAAACCTTATAACCCCCACCTCTCTTTTTTTTCCTTTTTTCTTTTCTTTTTTTCATAAAAAGAGGTTGCATTTTACATTTAAATCTAAATAAATCGTTCACTCGCCAGTAATTAACAATCACCTGATGAGATACATTGATACACATCAAAACATGACTGCAATTGTGTAGTGATTTTGACTTGTTTTCAGTGTAATATCCTAAAATATATATGGATTCATTTGGAACTAGATTCTTTTTTCCTTAAGCTCATTAGGTTCATGCCTTAAAACTTATCCTTTTTTTTTTTTCTTTTTTATTTTTCTACATAATCTTCTTTTGTCGGTGTACTTAATTTAATGGTGAATATTAATCACATAAATCAAATTTTAGTTATTAAATGTTTCAGGCTTTGGACTTATTGATCCACTCTTGTGCATATGCTTGATGCTTGCCTCTCACATTATTAGCCATTTTAAATTTTTTCCACAATTTTTAGAAAAGTCATGGATTCATGAAAATATTTTCAGGTTATTCCACATAATTTGTGTGAATTATTGTAGACTATATGTCACTTTTATTGGCAAGAGTTTCATCAATTCTACTTGATTTTACAAGTATTACATTATTAGCCAGCTTACTGAAAATTCAAGAAACATTAGATTGGAATTAAGAATAATTACAGAATGTAGATAAAGTTTAAAAAAAAAAAAAAAAATGTTTTGAAGAAACAATTGAAAATTGTCATTGAAAAATGATGACACTTTTAATATGAAATCCGTGCTCCATATTGTG